AAGGGAACTGTCTCATACAAAATATCTGGGTCTCTAAGAAAGAACTGGGAGGGGCAAAATGTTGAATTCCTATGTTTGAAACAATATGAAAGCAAATATATTTTTATGACTGCAATCCAGCTTCTTATTTAATGAGTATGTTAGCATAATGATTATAATTACTATTCATATTGGTGAAATTTCTCAAAGATATATTTGACAACAGTATTCACTAATAAAAAACTATTATCAAACTTAATTATAAAACAGAGGTCTTTGTCAACATTATACATATACTCTGATCCAAATAAAAGTGTCTCTCTCTCTCTCTTTCCTCTCTCTGTCCTCTCTTTCTCCCTCTTTTCTTTCTCTCTCTCTCTCTCTCTCTCTTTCTCTTTCCTCTCTTTCTCCCTCTTTCCTCTCTCTCTTTCCTCTCTTTCTCTCTTTCCTCTCCCTCTCTTTTTCTCTCTTTCCTCTCTTTCTCTCTCTTTCTCTTTCCTCTTTCTCCCTCTTTTCTTTCTCTCTTTCTTTCTCTCCTCCTTCTCTCTTTCTCTTTCTTTTTCCTCTTTCTCTCTCTCTTTCCTCTCTTTCTCCCTCTTTTCTTTCTCTCTCTCTTTCTTCTCTTTCTCTCTTTCCTCTCCCTCTCTCCCTCTCTTTCTCTTTCCTCTTTCTCCCTCTTTTCTTTCTCTCTCTCTCTCCTCTTTCTCCCTCCCTTTCTCTCTTTCCTCTCCCTCTCTCTTTCTCTCTTTCTCTTTCCTCTCTCTTTCCTCTTTCTCCCTCTTTTCTTTCTCTCTCTCTCTTTTTCTTCTTTCTCTCTTTCCTCTCCCTCTCTTTCCTCTCTTTCTCTCTCTCTTTCTCTTTCCTCTCTTTCTCCCTCTTTTCTTTCTCTCTCTCTTTCCTCTCTTTCCCTTTCCTCTCCCTCTCTTTCTCTTTCCTCTTTCTCTCTCTTTCTCTCTCTTTCTCCCTCTATTTTTCTCTCTCTCTCTTTCCTCTCTTTCTCTCTTTCCTCTCTTTCTCTCTTTCCTCTCCCTCTCTCTTTCTCTCTCTTTCTCTTTCCTCTCTTTCTCCCTTCTCCCTTCTCTCTCTCTCTCTCTCTCTCTCTCTCTCTCTCTCTCTCTCTCTCTCTCTCTCTC